ATTGAGGCTTGCCAACAACATTTTCCGTCCTGAAGAGCCAATATGAATTGTTACCATCAAATCTTTAATAATGTAATACTTTTCCCATGTATCTTGTTGTTTATATTTGTTCAAATGGAGCTGCTATAATATGCAAGATAATATCCCCCTCCAATCTGTCATGTAACAACATGTAAATCTAATTTGGTTATGTGTGCACGTGTTCCCCTGCAGTGCCCCATAGACACGCGTAAGGTGCTCTCGGAGAACCTGGTGGTGATCGGAGGCACGGCCATGCTGCCGGGCTTCCTGCACCGTCTGCTGGCGGAGATACGCCTCCTGGTGGAGAAACCCAAGTACAGCACGGTGCTGGCCAGCAAGAGCCTGCGGATACACGCTCCACCTGCGAAACCCAACTGCACCGCCTGGCTCGGAGGTCAGAAATGTGACTTTATAACCCTTGTGCCCCCCTGCTCTGTCATCCTTAGAGGACAAAAATGTCTGTGTCCAAAATAATAAATAAATAGAAGTAATATTGCATCAGGTTAAATACTTAAGGCAAGGTCCTGATTATCTGTATACGAAAACATTTTAGTCTGTGATTTTTAGGCCTTTTTTTCAAATGTTTTTTGTGCAAGGAACCAGGAAAACGACGTTCAAGCTGGTGGAAAACCAAAAAAGTACAATTTTGAAGCCAAGACTCTAGATTGTAAACTGTATAGAATGCGGGTTTGCATGCTATAATATCTGTGTGATTTAAAATGTTTTTTAATGGCTTTCAATGCAGACAAAAGTGTCTGTATTTGAGCTAATAACATAATATTCGGAAAGGAGGTTGAACTTCTAATATTGGAAAAAACCCTCCAGCATCAGCATACTGAACCAGCATTTATCTCGGCCTAAACATTTATTAGTGGCCCCTCGCTGTGTATTCACGCTGTCTCTGCTCCCCAGGTGCTATCTTCGGAGCGCTGCAGGACGTGCTGGGCAGCAGGTCGGTGTCTCGAGACTACTACATCCAGACGGGCCGCATCCCAGACTGGTGCTGCCTGAGCTCCCCTCCCCCCGAGTCTCTCTACGAAGCGGGGAAGACCCCTCCTCCACTTATGAAGAGAGCCTTCTCCACAGAGAAGTAGAATGTTCTGTAACTCTAATAATGTACTCTCCTTTACTCTACGTCATAGAACAGTTCAATTATCTTCAATTTTACATCTCAACACAAACAGCTCTAGCTTTTTAAATCTCTAGTAGTTACACATACTGTTGGGTGATGCGCTGCTTTCTGACCTGACCAGAAAGAAAACAAGTTGAGATATATGAAAGAAGACACAGTGTTAGAATAAAATAAAATAAACTCCTGTGTTACAAGCAGGCATGTTTTTGGTTTCATTTGAAGTCTCAATGAGCAAGACGCTGAACCTGTCTCACTCTCATTCCACTTTGTTCTGGATTCAGTTGGGAATTAAACTGAAAAACACGTTTATCTGTTCAGCAGAAATGTTTCAGATGATTATGAAACTGAGCTTTAGTCTTTAAAAAATAGTTGCTGAGAAAAGCATGATGTTTGACAAAGTTTGTTTTGACGGTAATGTCCAATGAAGTTTCCCCAAAAAAGTTTCACTTATTTATTATATTGAAGTATAAAGTGGTTGTTGAACTCAATAAAGGCCCTACACAGGTGTTTTGAGTTATTCCAGCTATTAACGGCTTTTCACAATAAAGAGTTAACACATGGTAGTGTAGGGTCAATGTCATCCACACTGACCTGAATTATTAAAATCAACTGTGGGTGTGTCGAACGTAGTTGTTGTTTACAAGTTTCAAAGCATTCTCCAAACAACGCCATTTTGCTCTGTCACCTTTAAAACCAACTATTACAACAAATAAATATTCAGAACTCAATCAGACTTGTTTTTGTCCTCTTTATCATCCGAGACTAACGTATGTTCGATTTCAAACAAATTGAAGCTCCAATATGTTTTAGACAAACAGCTGACCAGTAAGCTATTGTTGTGTGAAGATGGACAATATTCCTATGTCAATAGTGTTGAAACAGTCCGGAGATACCACCTTATGGGATTTTAGCCTTGCAGACCATTTACATGCACCAAACCCATACAACACACTACAGGAAAGGGAAAACCCAAAAAAGCATAATAGTGCCTCTTTAAAGTGGACCTATGATGCTATATTTGAAACATATATTGTAGGGCCATACCTATATAAAACATGTCCGTGAAGTTTTTTTTTCAAAATACCAAACAGATCATGCATTTTAGCCATGCCTCATTTCGCTCTATTTGCTCTTTTCCAGCCCTGTTTTTGCAAGGGCTGATTCTGCTTTTGTGGCAGACTACACTGCCACTTACAGGCCTGGCATATGTACTACAGCGTCTCCAGCGCTTTCGAGCGGTCTCTCATTCCCCTGATAGGTGGAGAGTTGCCCATATAGGCGGAGCACCCCTTTTCTGACGTCAGAGTAATTCAAATAATAATCAGCTCCGTTGCAGCCCCGTTTTTAGAGATTTGGGTACGGAGGAAAAGAGAGAGGGTTGTGTTTTCTGACACTTGGTGAGTTCCCTGACACACCGGGGACACATTCATGTATAAAAGACGTACAAAAGTGCATTTTGCATGATAGGTCACCTTTAAGTCTGTAATGCGTTAACGTCTCCCTTTTATTTTTGCAATTATTGTAACATTCACTTCAAGATCTTTTTTGTTATGTTACTTTGTGTAATTTGTTCCTGATCTACTCTACATTTACCAAGTTGTATCAAAATGCTTCTGCTAAACTTATTCAAGAAACCCCCAAACACACTGTTATTGTGTGTGTGTGCATCCCAGAATGGAGTTGCATCTGTTTGCCCTTCGGGTCAGATTCATCACTTAGAGTTGGTCCGTCTGGTCACTTTGGGCTTGGGAACCAGTAGCATTACCCACAATGCACCTTGAGCCCAAGACTGGCAGAAAGTGTGGGAAATTAGAAAAAAAATTGAATTCTAGGAATAAAAAAATTGTCATAAAAGCTGAGCGGCGGAGAACACAAAAACAAGGTGGAGGTCTGTCTGTTCTGTCTTCTTCACTTACATCACTAAAGGTGAAACAACCAGCATCTATGTATGTTACTTTGAAACATCTTCCTTTACTGTCATTTGTTGGTGAATAATTGTGGCTTCATGTTTAATTTAGTTTTATATTTTTGTTATGGTTGAAAGCTCAAAAACAGATGCATCCTTCATCCCCATATATTGGAGAGATAAATGTGAGCTGTGTTACTCATATGATCGTTGATATTATAGGATTTGGTGCCTACCTTTAGATGTAAGCTAACGTGCGAGCTACCATGTTCAGTCCCACCTGCTGCATCTGCTCCTCCTGAGGGAAACCCCATCCTCCCTCAATGGGGAGTGGGACTGGAGCATCAGTGCGGTTCCCAGAGACAGGAAGCAGCAGCTGTCCGTCTGACCTCTGGCTAGCAGACTGGGAGTCTGAGAGGAGGGGAAAGTCCCCCGGAAAGTGGGCGAGCCCTGCCTATAAGGAGTGTTGACAAGTATTTATTTTTTGCAAGACCAGGAAATCAAAACATTTCACACATCCAAATCTGCCACGATATTCACAGTGTTTATAGTTATCAAGATGAAATCATGACGTTATATGATTGTTTTATGTGTTACCGTGCTGGATTAGGAGATTGTTGTGAAATATTTGACTTCTTAAACCTGTTTTGCAGAATATTTAGTTCCAAAATAAATTGTATATCTTATAGAAGGTGGCATAAACATGGATTTTCCAACATGAGCATCACACCATCACAGCCTGGGAGGAGGGAGAGGAAGATGAGGAGAGAAGAAAGGCGTCATCCATCTTCGTTTTCTCCTCCACAGAGGATATTCTCAACAAACACCAGACCAATTATCCCGTAAATCACACTGGCTGTGAAAACACACCTGAGCCCTTTCTAATAAATGTCCAGGCACCGCTGTGCTTGTAATTTGCGCCCTGCAGAAAAAACAAACAAGGCACCTCTAAGTCATTTTGTGGAAAAATAATCAGGAGCTTTAGAAACCACAAGAAGCCACGTGGTGTATAACAGGAAGGTTACATTTACACAGCAGTTGTTTGGAGCACTCACAGCAGATATAAACTGATGATAACAGATATGTTATCTGCAGTAAACACAGGACAGGGCATAAACATTCTGCTCTTCCTCACAGCATCAATGTTGATAACCTCAGGTCTGCTGCGTCTGTGCCGAGACTAAACAGGCAACACTGTGAGAGTTCAATGCATAAACAAGGCCGAAGAAGAATTGATAAAACTACAAACGAGATCAGAAGCAGGTCCCGAGCTGCTGTGTTGGCAGGTAGCACAGAGATACAGGGAGCTAGTAGGAGTTTTAAAAGCATTTGTATGTTTGCTGCAACATTTTATATTCTGTTATGTATTTGATGTTACTGCTCTTTGCAACCTACAGTTTCATCATGTTGCTGCCCTGTGAGAAGCACGTATAGTATCTCCATGATGATTACTTTTTATCATTAGCCATTACATCAGATTGAACATTAAGCCTTCACTGGGTTTTCTCAGTGTTAAATTATGGTCTGTTATAGATTGATTTGAAAAGTCTGTTTCCTCACTAAGAAATACAACTTTGAGAAAGAATATAATGCAAACTTATTCCAATTTTACCGATTGAATTTGCTGATATTTAATATAGCATTAGAATAAACTAATGGGTGTCTGTGAAATCCTACAACACATTAGCATGGTTTGCTATTAAGTAAACATAGTGAGTTAGCAAGTCTGATCATAAATAGTTTATATGTTTTGCTAAATGGCTTAATATGATGATTATATATAATTATTGTCTATGTATTACGTGTGTGTGTGTGTGTGTGTGTGTGTGTGTGTGTGTGTGTGTGTGTGTGTGTGTGTGTGTGTGTGTGCGTGTGCGTGTGCGTGTGCGTGTGTGTGTTTGTGTTTGTGTGTGAGACAGAGAGAAAGTGAGAGAGTGAAAAAGTGAAAGAGGTGCAGAGGGAGAAAGGGAAGGACGACAGAGCGCACGAGAGAGCTTCTATTTCCTATTGATAATCAGCTGTATGTATTTAAGGGTTTGACGAAGAACCGCTTATTTTTCCTCATTTTAAAGTTCTTTGTGAGCGACTGAAGACGAGAGGGGGCAACTTGTCTTGAAATTATGCAAAGTTTTCTCGGAGTCTCGCACCTTTTATCGGTTATTTTGCTCCAACTGGCACGTGCGCAGGTAGGTCAAACAAAAACAAAACATTCTGTCATGTTAGCTAGCCACCGGAAACTGCAATTTGTAGATGTTTTTAAAACGCATATTTAGCGAAATATTTTCATTTATTTATTATAAAAGTTTTAATTTGAAATGTAATTTATTCCGTGATATTGTACATGCTAAAGCAGAAGTTACGGTTTTCTTTTTTAGGAGAAGACTATGATTCCCTATTAGCACCTCACCTTAAAAAGTGAAGCTAACAGAGTTTTTTCCACTGTGAGAGGTCACATCTGTTCAACACTTGTTTTTTACGCACTATCTGTATATTTGACTGGCTGTGTGGGGCACAGGAAGATAATATCTGCAGGGTTTTGAGATTTGCTATGTTTAGATTACAGTGCCCAGATAATCACAATACTGTATTTATCTAAGGGTTTCATTTGCTCTGTATATAATATATATAAATAATAAACATAATTTATATCAAAATGTGGAATAAAAAAATGAAATAGAATAAAATAATTCTGTTTATGATCGTAAAAAGTTATTGTAAAAATGTGCAATAATAGATTAATTGAAATAAAATAATATACAAAATATTTACAATAAAGATTCAAAGGTTTTTATTGTCATATGCACAGGCTACAGTGTAGAAATGGCAATGAGAATCTTATGGCCTGAGCTCCTCCAACAATGAATCCAGCATATGTAATAAAATAGAAAAATACAAAATAAAAAGTAGTGCAAAAAGTCTATATACATGTAAATAGAATATGATATGTAAAAGAACAGAATATGAAATTAAATAATGTAAATTAAGACAAAATAAAATATGTTTTATTGCCTGAAACGTGCATATAACAACAATACATATTTTAAAATGCATATATTACAATATATGCAGTGGTGTATACATAATAATAAAGATATTAATGCTGATTTGCACAGTTTGAGCTGCTGATGAGTCCAGTGTCAGTCTATGACTCAACACCAGTATAAGATGCAGCTGCTGCATGGAGCAGGGTGAGATAGAGAGGTGAGCTACACTGTATCAGCAGTGCTGGTTATAGGAGACTCTGTAGCCTCAGGTTCTGCTGGTGATGAGATGTAATTCTCCACTTCTCTGGTTCTGCACTAGTGCTCCCTCTTGGTATAACAACATCTGACCCCAGGCAAGACAGATATTCAGTATCACCCGGCAGGGAACCGACTGGATGAGCAATATGTGCTGCAGTTCATGTGAGGAGATTATAAATGAGACTTGTATTGAGTAGCAAGCTGACAGAAAATGATTTTCATGCCCAGTGCAATCCAGAAAGCTTCTCACATGGATTACTGATGCGAGATGAGTAGTAGGTGTAGGAGCATTTGGATGAAATATCGTTTTTAATAATAAATATGTTTCACAATTTATTATTAAAAACTAAATGTCATCCATCCACAACATTTTAGTGTTTGAAGCAACACAGCAATGGCTCAAATGCACCTGGTTAGAATCTAATTAATGTAAAAAACACGGATCCACGTTTTGTATTTCAAAACAGATGGCCTAAATTTAGGGCACAATGTCAGTTTAGAACAAAAAATTGTTTTGCCTCCAGAAACTAAACAAAGCATCTATAATGTAAGATATTGATAACATGTCATTTCCAAATGCAATTTAAACAAATCAGCATCAAGTAAATGACAACATTAGCATTGTGTAATTCACACAATTAGAGGGTGGAAACAAGAACACACATTTCAGTGTTTAGGTTATGTAATAAATGCATGCACATCCATGCTTATTATTCTGTTGTAATGCAACTATTGTTGGGTGAAGGAGTACAGACTCTTTGGCCCAATTACAAAATAACTTTGAGCTAACATAAATATCCCAAAATAAAACCTACTGTTTTCTACGAACCTACAAAGAACTCCCTGTGTGTGACATTTAGGAGATGATTTTCCCATCAGTGTTAACAATGTGAGAGGAAAGCAGGAGACAGGGGTGAGGAGTCAGAAAGAGATTGTTGATATTGAAAAGAAGGTATAGAGCCAAGATCAACGTGTTTTACTGCTTCATTTGGCCTTCAGAAACCAGGACAGTGTGGAGGCTGGGTGGTGAGATCTTCAAGATATCCATGCTGTGTCATGATACTTGACAGTACTGCCTTTGTTTAAACTGTTTATTGTGTGGAAATCTCCCATGAGAAAAGGCTGAAGCTATTCTTCACTGTTATTCTTCTGTGGTTTCCGCTTCTTGTGATAATAACACATCTGGGATTATATCAAATTGAGAAATCAAGTTTGATTGCTGGCTCAGTTTACTGCTTAAACAGTGACACAGTGGTAAACCATGCTGCTCATTGTTTTCACTGGATGGGTTGTGTGTGCACTTCTTTACTCTGCCAGTAGAGGGCGCTCTGCAACTACACAATGACCTACCGCTAATCAACCGATTTATAACATCGTAATTTCTCTTTTATACTAATTTCCAGATTTTCTTTGCACCAAAATGTTTGATATTAATGTAACAGCCTTTACCAAAAAAGAAATGTATATTTGATTTTTACGTTTATTTAATAATTTTTGCAGATTTCCCACCCTCCAGAAGGGGGTCACAGAGGTAAGGCCTATCCCACTTATTGGAGAAGAAGTACTCAGATCTTTTACTTAAAAATAGCAATTGTAAAAAATACTCTGTTAGAAGTGAAATTCCTGCACACAGAAGTTTTCTTAAAGAAAGACAAAACATTTGGCATCAAAATATACTTAAAATACCAAAAATGAAAGTACCCCTTCTGAGTACTCAGAATCATATATATAAAATTACCGGATTGACACATTCATTTGTTCATAGCAGCTGGTAAATGTGCTTATTATGCTAACACATTTATTTACAAGTTGCTCATGATTTCTAAAGCTTTGAGATCAATCAGAATCAGAAAGTTTATTGCGAGGTACTTTTACACATAGCCTACAAGGAATTTGCTTTGGTATCTGGTGGTGCGAACATAAACAATCTAAAAAAAATAAGTTGCAAAGTAGATAAAAAGAAAAAGAAATATATAAGGATAATAAAAAACAAGTATTATTAAGAAACTATTTAGCATTAAAAAAGGATGCTAAAGACAAGTATTTACTTTTGTAAATACTTTTATCCGAATAAGAACAAACAATATTTCTTTCAAATGTGAGTAAAAGTAAATATTTTCAGTCTATGCTACTTTGGTAGCATAGACTGAAAATACTCAGGTATACCTCAAAATGATACTTAGGTACAGAACTTGAATAAATGTAATTGATTACTGGTCACACTGAAGAGGTTTTTCAAACTCTACCAAATAATCAAAGGTTAAACCTGTCCTGCAGTGATGGGGTTCCAGGAGGTGTGGGTGAGGAGCATGTGTCGGCCTATGGAGCAGTTGGTGGACGTGGAGCAGGAGTACCCTGGAGAGGTGGAGTACATCTACATGCCGGCCTGTGTCCCACTTTGGCGCTGCTCTGGTTGCTGTGGGGACGAGAACATGGAGTGCCAGGTTACACTTGAAAGCAACATCACACTGCAGGTATACTGTCTCTCAGAAATACCAGAAATACCTGAATGGGGGTTGAAAATGCACTTTATGTGGATGTGAAATGAATGGCCCTTCTAGTGTTGATTTGTCCTTGAAGTCCTATTATTATTATTATTATTATTATTATTATTATAACATATTATTATGTCCTATTATGTTGATTTCCAGGTTTCATGTGCGTTTTGTGTATCCACTGTGACCTGTTTACATGCTTTAATGTTCAAGAGGTCTTTATTTTTCTCATACTGTCTGTGCTGCATCACCTCTTTTCAGATAAAGAGATAAAAACGAAAAATAAAGTTTAAATATTAAATAATTAAACACAGTAAATGGCTCCAACAGCCCTATATTCCGTTTTCCCTTGTTTTATCTTTCAGGTGATGAGGATTCATCCCATGATATCTATGCACCATGTGGAACTCACCTTTGTGGAGCATCAGAGATGTGAATGCAGGTAATTATTTCCAGTAAGCACCGAATGCAAATTTATATTTTTATACTACAGCTAACTACCATTTGTTGTGTCTTCTCCCTTCTGTTTTAGAGCCCGTCAGAAGCTTCTGAATAATAAAAGGTCAGTAGCTGGGAATTTGTATCTATCAGACTTGAACACGCCAATATCTTCACTGCTCTCTGCTCTGCCTCCACAGCAGTGAGTCTATCAAGAACAGACCCCGCAGGAGGAAACACAAGAAGACAGCAAACGGCTGTGGCAAGTAAGAGATGGATTGTCCTCCTGTGGCGCACACACACACACACACACACACACACACACACACACACACACACACACACACACACACACACACACACACATAAACCCACACTGTTTCACAATGTTTGGACATTTACGGTTACATTTATCACTATTTCCCCCTCACTGTCAGACTTCCAAGGACAGATTAAACAATGTCACAGTGTATTATCTGCTGTGTTAGTCTTCTCTTTGGCAGGCCTGTAATCCACCGCTCGTTTATGATGATAAATGATAATCTGAAGTAGCTGTTAGTTCAAACCAGGGGCTGCCAGTGTAAAGGGTTAGTCTGAAAATCACCGAATTCACATACAAGAAAACAAATTAGGGGATTAGTGAAGAGTAAAGGTATTTTTTTTTAAATCAGGTTACACTTTAAGCCGACGTAATTTAGTCCAAGGCCTACAGTATATAAGACCATCATTGGAAAGTCTGATCTAAGGTGTTTATCTGATTTGAGTTTGGTATTTGTATGTCTGTGTGAACACTAATTAAATAAAGGTCAAAGGGGCAACGTATGTCACAGGGTAATCTCTCTCGCTCCCCTTTAGTGTAAATAAAGGCATTGCCATAAAGAAGGCTTTTAAAGCTGTGGCCAGGTTTGTAGAGCATTATACAGTGGTGCTGTGAAGGTGCACACTCCTAGGGCCTCTTGAAAGATGCTATTAAGTTGATATAGTCATTGTAGGATCCAGGACCCACCACGAGGTGAAAATCAATTTTGAAGCATTTTTGCTTTCTCTCAAAAGTAGAAATACTTTAAATAAGTGCAATTCTAGATGCCGTGGTGGATTTACTTTGTCTAGAATAGAGATATTGTCCGATGAATCAATAAGCTCTTGACTTACCTTTGTGCATGTGGTTACACTTTAAAGACAGACTTGAAAACATAAACCTGTCCTTTAAGCACTCAGTGAAGAGGCTCATTATGAGTAGCATCACTTGTTGCAAGGTCGTAGAAGAACACAAAGTTTACCTTCCTGGGTAATCAGGAACAACGGATGATTTGAAGTAGGTGCTCGATGTAGTGAAAACTAGGTCACCCATCTCCTCTGGTAAGGAGAGGGAGGGGATATGTAATCCTGCAGTTTGAATTTGATCCACCCTCTGAATCAGCCTCCCTTAAAGCTAAATATTTGACTTGAACTTGTTGTTTGGTAAGGTCATGTTTTTTATTTTTTCCTACTATAAATGTTTTATCAACCGTGTTAGAATCTTTGTGGCCATGTTTTTCCTCACCACACAGTATGATGTTCCTTGGCTGCGGTTCCTTTTTTAAACCATAGCTTCATATCATAACCCCCTCCACCCAATCTTGAGTGTCGAATCTCACACACACTTGCAAAGTTTTTAATGTGTTGCAGGGTATTTCAATTGTATGATACCAGTACTGAACTTAAACTGAACTGTATGTAAACCTGAGGAAATAAACAGTGCCTTTAGGTCTTGCTTAACGGCTTCATCCCTGTAATACATTTGAAGGTTAAGGATTTTACTTTGGTGGTCCAGCAGGACATTTTGCCTTTTCACTCCACTGTGAAATGGGACTTTAAACAGATGCTCTATGCACCCATTGGCCCCGGGAATGTGCCCTAGAAGTGTTCTGTAATTCAGCCATGTAAGTGTACAAATCAAGTTTCATGTGTCAAAACAGTGGGGGCTGAGCCAAAGTACATGGGCTTGTCTCCTAACCTGATTCCATTTCCAATTTGGAAGTAGTTGTGAACTTTCAGGAAGCGTATGTGTCAGTTAAAGATTGATGTTTCTTTCTTTCAATGAAGATATTTCATCCAAAAACATCTGTATACAGATAAAAAAAAGACAGCATATTAAAGGACATGACTTTGGAAATGGTGTCTCAACCCAGATTCAAGTATACATCTCTGATTCAATAGGGAAGTATTATTAGAACACAGTTACAAAATCCATTCTCCCTCTCGGGATTAGTAAAGTTTTTCCTATACTGATTTTTTTTATGGAAACCAAAATGTTTTTCTTTTGTATGGCTTCTGCTGAGGAATGTTATGTATAGTAAGAGAAATAAAAAAATGAAACAGGTATTCAAATGTTTAGATCTGGTTGAATGATACGATCCATTTCCTCTGTTCACACTTTCACACAAAGGACAAATCCTGTTAATATTTAATAAACAATCCTTCCGTATTGGTCTCTATTTAGAATTCTGCTGATAAAGGCTCAATTGCAGTAGTAGCTCACAAATGATGTTGCTAAATAACACCAAATGATCTGCTGTTTGCTTGGTTGGAAGTGTTGACGGCATTTGGTGAAGTCTAACTATGTTGGTTTAAGAGGACGCAGATGTATTTTATAGACAGTGTTGTATGTTACTATTTAACTAATTGTGTTGGTTAACTTGTCTTTTCAGGTGCGAGTTCCCTCAAAACAAGATAAATCTTCACTGAACCAAATGCCTGTGCATCGTTTTTGGAGGAGTTTCAAACAGCAGATCATCAATGAATGAGTCATCTCTGACTATTCACCTTCTGTCTAGAAATGTTTCCTGTTATGGTCCATTCATCAAGACTCTGCATCCTTTCCATTACATTTTTTTCTTTTTTGATTAATAATCAAAGCAAACGACCATATCTGCAAAACTCATTTCGCTCTTACTGCTGTTTTTAACAGATCAAAATCAATATTTTAATCGAGTTGCTTTGAGGGAGGTTTTAAAAAATAGACATAAGATACAACAGATGTAGAACAGAGATAATGTGTGTAATGGTGTACGCTTATCAGGGAAAAGATGTAAGCCTCCATCCATACTTACTGATTAACACTTAGATCAATAGCAACATTCACAGAAAGAGAAAATCTTCTTTCATTACTTATTTTGTGCCTTTTTGAAGAGTGACTCCTGCTTTAATAGTTATAACTGAATACAAATACATTGTGTATGTGACTTTCTGTAAAGTGTTGTGGGACATATTGTGAATAAAATACACTCAAAATACAATGAGCCTCTGTGTTATCTATATTTTCATTGGAAACCATTGGGATGTGTAACAGGTGAGGACACTGAGAGCTCTTTCTTGGTCGAAGGCGCATTATTAACCAAGCACAAGGGGTTACTGTTATCCATGGATTTGTATTACATTTACAGCCCTTCAAAAACATGTGAGATGTTAGATGGCACTTGAGTTTCCTCATTTTGTATTTCACACTATAGGATGATCAGGGTTGCCCTGCAGCTTTGTGAAGTCAAGCAATCACAGGAGGGTTTGACCTTTGAGTATGACTTCATCACAGAACCTATTTAGATTGTTTAGCAGAAGCACTTGAGGTTGTCTTGTCTCCCTCGGAATATTTTCCTACTGCCATTTGAAAGCATGCGACCTCACACTACATTTTTGTTATTGCAAGCATTCAAATGTGCTTAAGGAGTAGAAGTAATGTAGTCAAGAGCAGCATGCACGTGAGATGTTTTGTTCAGAGGGGTTTACATCTTGTTCACGTCTTCAAACATGATGCAGAGAAGTCCTGCCCTGCTTAAGTTAGCTGTGGGTCAACCAGGCTCTTACACCAGTATATTACTCACGTCACTAGTACATTTCCCAACAGTAAGCTACATTTGAGATGCATGCCCTGTACTGTACACCTTCAAACACTGTAAAGCGAACACAATGTCCTTAACTTGCCAAATATTTGGTAGTGGTCACGTTTTCTTGCCTCTTGCTGGGTTGGCCAATCAGAGGCCTGGAAATCCCTAGGTGGGCGGGAATCTTGTGACGTCCACAATACTCCAAACATACCACGCCCTTAACTACCAAATATGGCAAAACCCGATAGAGCATCTTTGCCTTGTGCTTTGTAAATGTCACCATTTAGGAAGAATAGCAGGTAGATGTGTGAAAGCCCACGGCTGGTCGGTGTCGTGAGGTCCGATTTGAAGCTCACAAAGGACAATTCAACTGCAACTGCTGTTGTCACCACCGACCGTGCTCCGCAGCATGTGACCCAGCGGACAGGCAGGGCGGCTCGTGCAGAGTACCGTGGAACACAGAGTTCTATTGGACAGTGTTGAACGAGCACACCGAGGAGAGGAAACCGAGACACAGCAGGAACCGGCAGCAGGCTCATACACATCGAAGTCAGCTTCGTTGAAACGGCACCGAGGACAAAGTACGCATATTCCTGTGTGCTTCTTAAACGTTGTGTGGTGTTTTTATATCCACTGTGTACTTCGTGTCGAGTTAGCTTTGCATTAGCGCTTAACGTAGCTAGCCAGAGTGCTAACTTTTATTGTGTGTTGCATTCTGGTAGTTGCGTTTAGCTAGCTAGCTAAGTTAGGCTGTCATGTATCACATGTTATACTGGAATGAATACGTCAATATTCATGTCATGCAAAATTTACTTGTGTAGCCCACTTATCTTTAAGACTTCCTTTATTGCTAATAACTCCATACTAACAACATGTAGCTATACCTTCACCCATATATGTTTAACTAACTTGGACAGCAATCACGTTTGGGATTTTCATTCAGTTTCGTTGGCAATACCATAAACAAGGGGAGGCTCATATAAATGCTTGTCACACTGTAACAGAGTATGTTTTTATTGTTCAGTAAACTCCACTGGAGCTTTCCAGGAAGATAAGACAGTGTGACGTCCGGTCCAAACAGCCAGCAGGAAGAGGCGTTTGTTATGATCACAATATTAAAATACCCAGCATATTAGGATTGTAGATATGCTGCATTGCTTTTAATGTAAACAACTTCATGTTATGTCATTGCTGATGTAGTTGCTGTTGCAGCCTTTCAAGCCAAGAACATCATCGGGAAAGGAGATGAGCACCAAGAGGAAGTCGGAGAGTCACTCCAGGGCAGCAAACAGACCACGCATGACAAAGTCTGGATCCTCCGGGGCTGAGTCAGAGAGAGACTCCGGATTCTCAGGTACGTCTCTGCTCTTACCTCAGTTATATGTGCTTAGATTATAATGTATCACTTAATTAAACCCTATGGTAATTTCTTCCTGGTCTATAGATGCAAGCTCGGAGCACATGAGCACAATGGACACCACAGACTCCGAGAAGTCCCCCATTCGTGTTGTACAGAATGGACTGCAGACTTCTGGCTCGGGGTCCCATTCCTCTCAGCTGGCTGTAGTGGGAGGCTCCTACTCTAGCCTCTCTCCCATGATCATCATGAACAACGTCCTCCTCAAGCAGGTACACTGCTGCCACACGGAAAACTCTATAACCTCAACTTGAGCTTTGATATTAATGGACGGATTAATTATCTGTTTCCTGGAAGGCAGTGATAGGAGCAGGTCACAGGAAAGTAATGGTCAGATGAATTGCAACCGTGTTGAACTCACAGTCCAGTCACAGCTGTCATGAATGTGTCGCCAAAAACAGGCGGACCATTCACATAGTCTTATTGCTGAGCAACAGGATATTTTTATAGCAGATTTTGGCCTCAGACACTTAAAGTGGTAGCTCAGTTAGACCTTTTTTTTTATTTTTTATTCTGGTCCACATTAACGCTTATTTTTGAATGGCACATTTCCGTCATATCACTACTGTATCTTTTAGGCTTTTGTTTAAATATTTAGGAGGGAAGCTCATGATAACACTTTTCTTTGAAAATAAAAGCCCCAAACTGTTTTTAAGAGTTAGAAAGTGGAACTAAACATTTGTCCTGTTAACAATCCGCGAGGAACACTTTTAACAGTTCAACCTTTTTCTTGGCTTAGACCTCAGCGTTACGGGAAAACTCAACTTTTCCAGATATTCATGACGCTTCAGCAGCTTTTCCATGCACTTTCATCTCTTTATTTATTGATACATCCTCAATTCAAACCTTTCAAAGCAAGCATACAGCATCAGTTTTTCAAGATATATTAATATTACACATCTATTATACACTGTTTTAATTGACATACAAATTGATCCTATTCCCACTTTTCCCAACTACCCTTATTATGTAACCTTCTTATTACACATTTCAAACAGCAAAGCCGGATCAGCCTCTTTTTTTTTTATCAGCATCCAGCATTCACACCACAAAGTGATGTAATCTTAATCTGTGGTTTAACAGTGAAGTGTAGAGACCTACTCTGCCGTCCCTGCTCTAATGATGCCCAGAGATTGACCTGCTACAGGTGCTGTGTCAGGAGAAGGTCGGATGTGTGGACACTGTAAATCCGCTTCAGACGCCAATCCCCTAAAGGGGGCTTTAGCATCTGAGAACAACTGATTGGGTTGCTTAGCGGCTACGACAAAACTGCTGGTAGTGGAGCACACTATGACTGACATTTAATCAAAAGTCATTCATATTTTAAGCAAAAGTCTCTGCCTTGTGGACTTTGCAATAGGTGAATGTTGGCATTTAAAGACTAAATGATGAATTGATGCAGTTTTTTATTTTTTTTTGTGAAGAATGTTGTCCGCATCATTTTTTAAATGTGTTTTTATTGTGTCTCAAACGATGGAAATAAATGCATGTATACTTGGAAAAGGCCTCTTTAAATCTCTTAATCTTTATTTTGTATTTTTGTTATCTTTGCAGCCGGTTGAAAGTCCTCCTGCTGTGAAGCAGTGGGGGTTTAGTCCCACAGTGGAGGTGGTTCAGCCTGTGGTCCAGCAGCCTCAGGTGGTCTTCCTTCGGCCTGTGGTCTCTCGTCAAACTTCCCCTGCTCCCAAAGAGGCCCCCTCTAGACATAGACGCCCCAAGAAGTATCTTCCAATCCTGAAATCCTACCCCAAAATAGCTCCACATCCCGGCGACAGCTCCAGTTCCTCAGGGAGAGGAACTGCTTCCTCATCTTCCAGCAACACCTCTTCTTCTTCTCACTCCTTCTCGTCGTCCTCTTCTTCTTCACACTCGTCCTCTTCTTCTGGCTCAGAGAGGGGAAGCAGTTTGACCTCCAACCACCGGGAACACTGTCAAAGAGAAAAGCAGAAGAGAAACCTGTGTGGTGGCGCTAGTAACTCTGCCTCGACCACTCCCAGTCTTCCTTCTACCCAGAGCACCACGTCTCCTCTGCTCCAGAGACGACTCTCTCTCCCCACAGCAGAGGCCAGTGCCAGCAGCAGCCCTGCCAGGGAGAAGCCTTCATCAGCTGTCAACCAGGCCGAGTTTTCCACCTCCCTGTCCGTTACTCATACAGACAGGGCTGTCCAAGAGGAAAGCTCATCAGCAGAATGTGACCACAGTGACAGTGACGCTGATGCGAAGAGGAAGCGCTTCTGCAACACGTACAACATCTTGAGCAATTCCGGCCTGCTGGACATCGCACTCCGCACCAAGGAGCTCCACAGGCAGAACCGACGCACCCAGAGCGACCTAGACCGGCTAAAAGAGCACACGGACCTGTTCCTTCAGGCTCTGTGCAGCGGCGACACCAGCATCTGTTTGAAGCTGCTGGCCAGCCTTCCGGTGGAGGGAGGAGAGAAGGAGAGAGCTGCTCAGACCAGAGCTGCTCAGACCAGCTTAAAGGCAGATTAGACCTGGACTAGTGCTGGGCTGTAAGCGTTTAGACTGAGGGGGGAAAGGCAGGCCGGTGGAGGGGGAGTGTATAGAGACAGATGGACCGAAAGTAATGTTCTCCACACTACACCCCCCACCCCTAGACTGTCTCGCACACAGAAAGTGTGCTGTGGCCTACTTGTGGCTGCCTTAGGGCCCCGACACACCAAGCCGACCTCAAAGAGTCGGTGCAGATAAAAAACAGTTTTCGCTGCCACACGTTTTCTGTGGAAAGTTGCACTCATTGTAAGACTGTAGCTGGTGGCAGGCTGACAGCCAACATACACATATGTTCTGCACCTTTTGTTTTGCTGCATCCTGTCAGACAGTTGTCTTTTTAGCTTGTGGAAAAAGAAAACTACACTTAAACAGATTTGCGAGGCCTCACAGAGCCCCACCTGTAATTGCCTCTGTCGCTGTTTCAACGAGATGAATCATCCAAACAACCACAGGAAAGGCTGATTAGTGCAATCAGTGAAGGACTCAATCTGTGGGGGATGGTCAGCCACACTTTAAGTGCTGCCCATCCTCCTGCTGTTGCTTGGTGTGTTGGGGTCAAACAAGCCAGAACCACAGCGTCCTGTTCTGCCATACTGAGCCTGACTAAGGTGCTGTTTACACGAGAACGCAAACGGTGTGTTGCACGGATACAAACCATTTTTTTAAACCCGAAAGCACAATACAGGCTCAGAATCTGAACTCTTTATTTGAATACTGGACCTGTAAACTGTAACGTTGCATGACATGGTGTTCTCAACGAAATTGTTTAAATATCAGCATACTGCTCTTTCTAACAACACATGTCTGATTTCATTAAATGGTATTAGGTTGGTCTGTTTCAACAGTTTTGCATCATTCATGTTTGTCCTCGAGGCCGTTTTCTACTGATATGTTGCTTCACGTGCATCCAGTTAACTGTCAAAGTGTGTATTTATGTAATGAAGCCGTTTTGGGGTGTCAGGATAACTGTCAAGGCCAACATTCTGAAAACTTGATGAAACTTGTTTTTCTATAAAGCGGTAGGTACTGTCAAGGCTCAAGACTAATGGCGCTCCGTTACCCTGGTGTCCATGGAAAATGAATTTGGGATGCAATAGACTAATGTTTGACACCTCAAGGGGATGCACCATAATTTCCCCCTGATATTTATTATTGTTAAGAAACATCAAATCTGTGTCAAAATGTGCAGGAAGAAAGCTAGTTAAGTTATCTGTTAGCAGCTGTTGAACAGAGGTGCTATTGAGTTGCATTAATGAGTGCTCAAGCTATATTCATTGAATTATAACGTTAATAAATACAATAGTTTAAAGCAGTATAAAATAGATACTAAGCAAGAGAAGTATCACTTAACAAAAAACAGTAAAGCAACTTTTAAAAGGAGTGTATGTGGAAGTACTCTAAATGTATTTCCTTTTTACCTTGGCATCAAGACATTTGGGATTGAATTGGTTACTACATGTCTGTTATCGTGACACCCCTACAGCAGTTACAGTTATGTCAAATCGTTGAATCTGACAGGCTTGTGAAACTCTTCTCCTGTCACATGACATGTGTCCATGGCCTCCTGCCAGTCAGTGTAAACATGTGCCTAACATTTCTTTATCTCCACTGCTGCATTTTGAAACCTGATGTGACATATTTGGCAGGCCCTGTTGACGGTTTATAATAGTTTTGCATTCTCTACATGATGATGGGGATGATTGAGTCTATGACGAACATCAGCTTAGGTTTCTTGTGGAAGACTGGCTCAACTTTTGGTCTCATGAATCCAGATTTCTACTTATATTTGACAATGGATTTCACTGTCCAAATTAGGCACCTTTGTGGAGTTTTGTATTGCCTGATAGGAACGTTTGTGTATGTTAATAAGTTATGGCCTTAATATCCAAACCCAATGTATGTCAAAACTTTGCATTTGCACTAAAATAAACTGAGAGCCGCTCTGAAGCAATTTCTGAGAAGCATTTGATGGCAGCTATGGTACACAATCTGCATACATACTTTCCTACATGACAGACATACATAACAATTACATGGTCAAATGTTTAATTTAATAGCAGTTTCCTCAGTATTAAATACTTGTTTGCGCATTCTGTTTCTGTATAATATTTGATGTGAAACTGTGTTTAAGTTGACTTAAAAAAGCTCCTGAGGGACTTCTCAAGGAGGGCTTATTTATATTGTACTTTGGCAATCTTATCGCCTGCGAACATAAGTACACACTTAAGTTGAAAAAGTGTATTTGCACCTGTGATTACAAAATATACGGAATTATTTAAACAAATATCAGTTTTATTGTATTTCCCCACTTTTATTTAAGGAAATGCACTGATTAACTTCATCAGCCCTTATTTTGAAAACAGCAGTTATGCCAACATCTGATAGACTCACTATATTTGGACTATAGAGGATTATGTTGAGTAATTTAAAAATAAAGCACTACATTTAACTATGTTTGGGATTCAAAACCAGATTTGATGTGTGTTTAGGGATAATGTCATACTGGCACACCATGCTGTGTCTTAGCACTCAGATGCCCGGCTGATCATTTGAAGTTTCCCTGGTGTTAACATCCCTGGTGTTAAGAATCTTGGATAGAGGACGAGTGATATGTCTATTTTTTTAGTTTCTCATTGCATTAGCAAACAAATATATAAAAGCAAATACAGAAGCTATACATTTATACTTGGCTACAGCACAGCCGATGTCCACCATTGCTCGGATAGATAGGATAGGATCTCTATCTATTAAAGTTCCCTAATAAAAAGACCAAGACATTTTTCATGGCACTTTCTTTACAGTTTATTTACTGTTGGAGATATTTTGGGTATGGTCGTTTATTAATTCATGACTTTACCAAAAATGACTTAATAACTTTCTGAATATTTTGTATGTAGTTTACAGTTACATCCACTAGATGGCATCGGTGATGATGGGACAGCAATAGGTTGTAGCTAACTCCAGTAGATGGCGGTAAGGCAACACAAGGATGCAAGCTTAGGTTAAACCTCAAAGAAGAAGAGGAATAGGACTCTCACTTTTTTAGCTCACAAAACACAGCTATTGCAAGGTAAACAAACGACTTTCACGTTTATTAAAAAGTAATAACATTAAATAAATTAACAATGTATCGTCAGCGGCCTAGCGTCGACACTTGGCAGCTAGCCTCTGTGTTTTAGCCTCGGTAGCTAGTTTGGTAACTGCTAACCCTGCAAGCTAACTTAACAAGGCAGTCTGTGTTATGTCTGTTTTATCAAACTCTGTTTACACTAACCCGGTGCTTTCGAGCTTTAGCTACATTTGAGCTGAAGTGTTTGAACAGCTAGTGTTTGCATATAAATGTCAACTAGTAGTGGCTCTCTGTAAGCTAGCAATGCTAAGACGTTTACTTGCTCACTTGACGTTTTGTGCTGTCGTTTGACGCAGATAGTGCGATGCTGTTGACACAAAGATGACCTGCATGACCCTGCGCCTATGACCGACAGAGAACATCTAATTTAGTTGGTCAAACGCGAGGTATGTATTATCTTTCTATAACAGTCCATCTTATAACATATTGGTGAAAGTGATGGATCTGCATTGCTCTTATTATTCTACAGGTTCAACACAGGGAGACCCATGCTTTCTGATGAGCTTGACTCCAAACCAGAGGTAATCTTGTTATCATTTCCATGCTTAGTGTTTTCTAAGGCCGTAGACTTTATTGTGGAATGATGTATTTATAAGAGACTAGCTTCGTCATAATGCTGTGTCTCTGTTCTCTCTCTTTCTCCCCTCAGCTGCTGGTGCAGTTTGTGCAGAACGCGTCCATCCCCTTTGTGCAGGGTCTGGAGGATTTAGAGTCCAAACACTCCTGCCTGCCCCTGCTGCCTCCAGCTGTCAGCTCGCTGTGCAGCCCGCTGGAGCTCACAGGTCACCAGCCCATCACTGCTCTTCTTTTGTCCCTTACAGCAGGCAATTATAATAGCAGGACTCTAAAGAGCTTACTCATTTTGAGGGTTACTACATACCACCTAATACACAATACCACTCGAAATATGGCTCCAAATTTAAAATAGCAATAGTCTGCTAACAAGGTCTCCCTGTTGGTTTTTAAAGTGAATTATATATCAATGTAATGAAGAAAATGTGAATCGAGGTCTGGATGTTGAAAAGCTGGCGCCAATCCTGTTTGCTGGCCTTAAAGCTACAGTTGGTCACTTTTTAGTTATATTTTCTGAAACTGACCCTATGTCTTGAGAGTTGTGCATTACACAGATTAGACATGACATGTTTGTCTGCTTCCCCTAAGTGCTCCTAATGGCATTCGTTAGATTCCCTTTAAAGGTCTTGAAACCTGTTTTAGTGTAGTGTTTGGCTGTAGAATGTCGAGCCAAAACCAAGCGACACCCACCGGCCAGAGAAAAGTTCAGATTTGACAGCTTAACAGGCTGTTTCTGAAATCATTTGATTCTGGTGAAAGGCAATGCAACAACTGATTCCTTAGTTATATTTGAATCAGTACTCCTCATTTCATAGTTTGATCGGAGTTCACAAGCAGTGATTGACACTGCGTTAGAGACGACTCAGTTCTGACTTATTCGGCACGGTATAATTATACCAATGCCATGAGGAGCACTAGGTGGAGGCAGAGGAACATGATATTTGAATCATGAACTGCTATCAGATTGTAGTTATAGAAACACAAAAATGATAAAAGTTGTTTGTAAAAAAAGTCACCAACTATAGCTTTAGAAGTTAAATATTGCCCGAAAAGTATGAAAGATTTTAAAGAAAAAGAAAAGACGAGTTCAAAATGCATGAAAAAAAGTGTGAGAAGGTATTGACGCTGAACATTCTTTCTATTTACTTTAAAAAAAAATTATTCTTGCTTCACTTCTCAATGGCCATTAGATGTGATATAGAATAGGCTTATCGTTTCCTTAAGATGTTTAGCATTAATATTTGATCAATCTGGATGGACAGATGCCCCTTACGATGCATCAGGGCTGTGATTTCTCTCTGTGTATATTCCTTGTGATCATACTTTAAAACAAACAGCACAATACATAGTGTTGGCAGGCTAATAATAGATGGCGGATGTGTTTATACATTAAAGGTGCCCTGCAGGGTTGTGGGTAAGCAAACAATGCTGTGTTTATATTCAAAACAAATTTACAGAGTTAAAAAGGGAATGTTCTTATTTTATTTGTTCTACTAAATGCTGCTATAGCATGCGCTTATTGTACAATATGAACCGCTGTTCAGTTGTTTTGGATCTTATGTTGCCGATAAGGTGTAGTTTTCTTTTTAGGATTAAAACTAACCAACACTTGTTTCCATCTCAGATGGAGGCCTGAGCCATGTGCCTGAGAGGTCTCCCTCCCTGTCAGAGTTCGGAGGAGTGTCAGTGCGAAGCCCATTAGTGATCCAGACACACAGTCACCAACGGGCCTCCCCCAGCCCCCCGCCCATCCTCCATGACCTACAGCAGTCCGACAGCACTTCCTACGTCCTACTGAACCTTGCCAAAGGTAAAGGAACACTAACCATAAGCATGTTTAAGACTCCAAGATGTATTCCCGTAGGGTGAGTCACTTTGAAACATCTTTTTAAAGAGTTTTTCATCAAAATCTGTTCTTGTGTCAGTACTTTTTGTCTCGCACTGTTCCCCGTTATACACTCCGCGCTAAAATAAATGAGGTGACACATTTTCATGAAGAACTGTGAATTATTTGGGCCGGAAGAAATTATCCTTGGCAGACACATTCTCTTGGTTCATCACACATTGGAAGCAGAGCCTCAAAATTAATTTCGGTCTCTTGACACACACCTATTGTGCAGAACGCTGTGTTCTGCCTGTGACTCAGTGAGTGATGCAAAGGCTTTTCAGCAGACACAAGCACTTTCTGGCTTTTGTTGGAGTGATTGTTTTTTGTTTTTTTGTGAATATGCTTTTCAATGTGTGTTGGCTGACGTCCTCTCAGCCTTTCAGAATACAGCTCTTAACCTTAAAGGTCCCACGTCATGCTTTTCCGGTTATTACCCGTCCCCTTGTGTGTTATGAAGGTTTTTATGCATGTAAACGGTCTGCAGAGTCAAAACCCTCAAAGTACACCCTGTAGCGAGTAAAACTCTAACACAGAAAAAACCTCCTCAAAATGCCACGTTGGAGATACGTCACTGTCCATTGATTCTTCCGGGTACCGCATGATGTCATGCGTTACCCGGAACCAAATGGACCAATCCGTGGAGCCGTTACGTTAAGCCCCCGCTGATTGGCCCAAATTGACCAATCCACGGACCTCCTCACACACACACTCAGTGCAGGCAGCTCTGCTGATCTCTCCTCCCTGGCTGCAGGCTGATAACAGACAGTTGGGATCGTGGCGAAATTCTCTGTGCAGACCCATTCTCACAGCGTTTATCAACCTTTTTCTTACTCAATATCAAGCCACACTTATTGTTTTTACTTCGGCTGTGACTTTGTGTGTGCTCAGGGTGAGTTTGGCTGTGTTTCGCTGTCGCTAAGCAAGGAAACCACACCTCCACGGAGCTCAGCGCGATTCACAACGTCCCGACCAATCAGAGCACACTGTGCTCACAGGGAGGGTGGGGGCTGGAGCTATTGGAGCTACAACGAGCCGTTAAAGGCAGAGAGTGAAATTCAGTGAATACACGTAGTTTGCAGAGATGCTGTATGAGAAACCAAAGTGATTTTGGAAAATTGCACAATATAAATCTATTCTAGTAGACCTCAACAATGGAATTATGATCAGTGGAAATGGCCATGACATGGGACCTTTAAACCCAAAAAGGATGAGCGGATGGAGGACACTCATGAATTCACCGGCTATTTGTGGACCCTTAAAAAATCTCCAAAAACATTGATCTACATTCTTTTATTAAAATGCTTTAAATTTATATTTTTTGATAGTCTTAAAAATGCTTCGGCATAGGAAGTAGGATTGTATTAATTGTTATTTTCTGGTATTGTCTTTTTAAATGTCAGGATAATTCACATAAGTATATGACCTATTTCCCAAATACCTGTTGCATTAAAGATCAGTGGAATCCCATTGTTCCTATTTGTTCCATTTTTGTTATTGTAAAGTTATCTTAAAGTGGACCTATCATGCTATATTTGAAACATACATTGTAGGGCCATACATATATAAAAAATGTCTGTGAAGTTTTTTTTTCAAAATACCAAACAGATTAGCATTTTAGCCATGCCTCATTTCGCTCTACTTGCTCTTTTCCAGCCCTGTTTTTGCAAGGGCTGATTCTGTGACGTAGCTTTAATGCAAATGAGCTGCAGCTGACCACGCCCCCCTGCAGGAGAAGGGAGCGTGCTCTGAGATCAGCTGCTGGGCTCTCAGAAGAGGGGGAGGAAAAGAGAGGCTCCGTCCTCCGTGTATTATTCTTATATTATTATTATATAGAGTCGTTACTCATTTGTTTTAAGGCTCAATAAATAACAAAGAAGACCTTTCACCGGCACTTTTCAAATTTTGTCCGGAAGATTTCAACTTGAACGGACATGTTGACCGGCGAAAAAAA